TAATGAGTGGGCTGCCCGCAAAAATGTCATGAGTTATTAATATTTTCTTTTTTAAGTACTATGTGATAGCTGATACCATTTAGGTTTTCTTTGAAATTTAATTTAATATGATTTGTCAAGTACCTATACGGTGATTGTCTTACAGTTGACGAGAAGGTCACCTCTTTGCAGCATAAAATAGTAATGTTCTTAACCTTTATGCTATTTTTAAGTCTCTTATCATTTAGTAGTATGATCGTGATAAGATAAACTCTTGCTCTGTTCCTAGAAGTATCTCTTTTATGTTAAGCTAGTCTTGAGAAAAATTAACATTCCATTAGCATATATATTAAAATTTGCTCTGAAGATTTAACAATCATGAATGATGGCCCAAGGCAATTTTCCAGAACGTTCTTCTATGCCTAGTTCTGTACCTGTCTTCTAGCTCTAGTTAATGTTCCCATAGTGTCCTTCTGGGACTTTTGGTGGCCCCAAGAGTCTTAATGTATCTGTAAGATCAAAACTATTTTCACAATAAATAAGATATTTGCCTTTTTGAAGGCACTTTCTTTCTTATATTCCAGACATTGAAGATAATGTGAAAAATTATAAAGCGTTGTCACTTTTATGCAATTTACTTCCTTGCAATGTCGGGTATTTTTTTAAAAATAAATCTATTTTTTAATGTCAGTATGGGTTTACTATATTTTATTTAACTGAGAATTTTCTTAAATATTAATTTTCAAAAACAAAAGCCCTTGGGTGCCCTTAGCTTTTTGCTATACAGAGGTATCGTGGTACAAGTGTTTGAGAATTGCTGTTTTCACTAAGAGCTTTTACAAGGAGATATACATGGTCAAGATTTACTCAGATATTTAGTGGATACTCCTGGAAGGTGTGCATCTCATCGCTTTGAAGTGAATTTTAAGAAGCTTTTCTGCCCCTCCCCGCAAGCTGGCTTGAAGCAATCATTATGCGCAAGTATACCTTGCTGTGCCGTTAAGATTTTTCATTTTTCTGTATATGTTATACTTCATTTTCAAATGTAAATTAAACCAGATATTTAAATTATTTCTGTAAAATGTTAAAGTGCTTGTAGTGTGGACTTTACAACATTTTCCACAAGGGCTTCTAGATCTTACTTTTTCTTTATTAAGCAAAGCTTTTCAACAAGTTCTTCTCAGGACCATATTAATTGCTTGGTACTGAATCTCCAATTTGTGAGAAATCTATCCTTTCTTGTAATACATTATGATAGTATTTTTATGAAAGTTGCAGTGAGCTGATTAGTTAATCATTTTCATAGTGCTAGGAACTGCACATCCTAGACAGGCATTCGACCACCAAGCTACAGTCCCACCCATGACCACCTGTTTTAAGAATGTATATTTTGGGGGATATTTATGATGAGTAACACACATGCATAATTAGAAAATTACATGTAGGGATAAGATTTACAAGAGGTGAACCTGTTCCTTTCTACTGCTAGCATTCATTGCTCTGACTCAACTGCTTTCTGTTATTTTGGCTGTTTTCTGAGTTCTCATTCTTTTATTCAAGTAATGTTGTGCTCCTGTTTCTACATTGGTTACTTTTAGAAATTACATATTGTTTCTCTAGTATGGAAGATCAGATCTAGTGTTTTTGTGTGTCACTTATTTTTCCATGCTTCCCATTCTTTCTAATTTTTAAAGTATGATTTAATTAAGATGAGAAAGCAAGACTCGATCTGAACTGTAGCATTGCATACCTAAAATAGCTTTGATTTTTCCTGTAATTAATATTTTCCACATTCTGTCATTAGCCTATGTTTTATGTTCCAATTTCTGATGCTGGATAAAGAACTAGAACTCAAAGCTTTTCTCAGTATTTACACACTCAAAGGTAGCTTCTTTGGGTCAGCTTTGATTCTTTACACAGCATCATCCTTTGGGACCTTCCACCTAGTCGCTGTAGTCAGGCTTTGCTGTTGTTTGGATTCTTACCTAGCTGTTGTGCAAGGACTTCTTTTGATGAAAAGGAAAAAAAGTGAATTCCTTTTTCTCTTTTGTATGGAATTGCTTGTTTCCAGTAGTCTTTCTGTTTCCTGAGGCGGAAGGATACAACCCAGTGAGAAAGAATTTACAGATGAACTCGAAAATGGAATAATATTAAGCCCTCTAAGCTTGAATGTGATATATAGCTCTATGTATTTGTCTATAGTTAGTCTTCTGAGCAGCATTTTCTTTTACAGTGTAACAGTCTTGCAAGTCATTTTGTTTATTCCATAGATATTTGCTTTTTGATGCTGTCATCAATCAATATTTTTAAATTTCTTTTTCCAGTTGATTTGTGCTGGTGCAGAAATATGCATTTGATTTTCAAATTACACAGCTGGCTTCTGTGATGTGACTACTAAATCCACGTATTAATCGTATAGATTTTTGTTGTTTTGTTTTGTGGCCCGCTGGGCTCAGCCTGCCCTGGGGGTGGGCCTGGTGCGGCATGTGGTGCTGGGGATTGAACAGGGTCCTTGCACTTGCCCAAACAGGTGCTTTAGACTGCTGAGCTCTCTCACCAGTCGATGTATAGTTGTTTTTAAAGTTACTTAGCATTTTTATTTAGAAAATTGTCATCTCTGAATAGGCAGTTTTACCTCTTCCAGTTTGATTTTCTGGTGTTTTTTTTTTTTTTCTTATCAGATTAGTTAGGAGTTTTAATTTTTATATGCATTGAATTAGTGGTAATGGGATTTGAATTCCATGTCTTCCCACTGAGCTACCCTGCCAGGCTTTTTTGTTTTTGTTTTTAATTTTAAGACAAGGTCTCTCAGTTGTCCAGGCTGAGTTTGAACTTGAAATCCTCCTGCCTCAGCTTCCATAATGCTGAGGTTACAGGTGGGCTCCACAATGCCTAGCTCCATATGTTGTGTCCCTTGACTGTGGACTGTCCCATCTTAACACTATATGCCACCCCAGGCATAACTGTGCTGACGTTTTTCTATTGTATTGCTTATGACTACATACATGCATTTTTTTATTTAAGCCTATTACAAACAGTACTTCTGTGAACATTCCAGCCTGCGTCTTTTGGTGATAATGTATTTTTATTTCTGTTGGGTTTATGCTTCGGAACAGAATTGCTATAATGTGTGTGCCAGTTTAGGGTGGAATTTCAATTGAATTTGCTTTGGGGCTCACTGTGTGGGTTAGTGGAGCACACTCATAGGCGTTTGAGTGGCCTTGGGGTGTCTGACCCCACCCTTTCTGCTCTGGTTCTCTTCTCTGCTCTGCTTCTCCGTTGGTTTGACCTAAAGAGCTTTTCTTGTGTCTGTTGTGATGTCTCTGTCTCAGATGCAGTCACTCAGGAACTCAAACTAAGAGCAAATTCCCCCTCTCCTCCTCTAAGCTGAAGAGTTGGTGGTTGGGCGTTGGGCATTATGTCTCATGTCTCGGTGACAAGAAAGATAATATACACAATATAGAGTATATTTTCCCGTTTTCTTCCACTTCATAAATGGCCACCCCTGTTATACTTTCACTGCAGTTTTAATGGTTCCTGGGGAAAGAGGATGCAAATGGTTCCATTTAATTTTCCTATGAAATAGAAAGTCATATTCATCTCTTTCAGCTCTGCTTCTTCCATTGCTCGTTACATCTTCTCAAAGGGCTTGAGTCAGACTCCCCGTGGATGCACTGCCTTGTTTCCTGAAAGATGGGCAGCTGATTTACGTCTTGGATGGCTCTGCCTGGTTACATGTTGGTCCTTGTCGTGGGGCTTGCCATGCACACGTGTTGCTCCGGAGCCCCAAACGTGTTCCCTGGAATATCCCCTCATTCTGACCTCCCATTGTCTAGGCACGTCTTGAGGCTTTTATTCAGGGAGAGCTTTTCCTACTAGAACACTTCTCAGCCTTAACGGAATGAAAGCACATCAGCTTTGGCAGTCAGAGGTGTTTCAAAGACCTGGGTGATTAGGGAGAAAAAATTGTCTCACTCACTTGGAAAGTGAGAATTTTCCTCTGTGTTTGCATGTAACTAATTCTGTGCATAGGGCAGACCAATGGATGTAGGATCACTCAATTTTATATCTCTATATTGACAGAGAGAGTTCACAGGATACTTGCTAAAACTAAGATTTGGGAATTATAGTAAGAGGTCTGGTACTGTATGGTATCTATAGCTATGTAAAAAATAAGTTTAAAACTGTCTAAAATGCAAGTATCTATCACTTTACAACAGTATTCTTAATTTTGGTAAGATTGAATATACTGTTAGTGAAATCATTAAATTTTAAGAAATATAAAATGAACCCTATTATTAAGTAAAGAATACTAAAGTAATTTGACTTTTGTCTCCTTTTTTCCTGGGTCCTAGATCCTGAAAAATGATATGTAGAATTTTATTTAGGTTTCAAAGTAAGGAAATCCAAAACTTGGTCCTAAAACAAGTGCATGCTCACTAGGGCTCCACTTTTTTACTTAGTAGCTCTAATTTCCAGTTTCTCTACAGAGAGGGGTCAATTAAACAGAGTAGTATCAGGCTTTTATGGGAATAGGTAAAATGCCCAGCAATGTAAGGATTATGTAGCAAGCCTGCAGAGAACTTTCTGTTATTAAGAATGGTATGACTCTATGCTTTGTTTGTCTTAAAATTCTGCATTAGTAAATAGCTGCAAAACAAAGAATATTAAAAATATATAAGCAAAGGTAATATAGAAAGGACAACTGAATTATTTCGGCCAAAGACATTTTGTCACCCAATGATGTGTCTTAATGGACCCCAAGCAAAGCTTTTACTTAGCAGTCAACATTTATTTGGCTATAAAATCCATGGCAAAAAAAAAAAAAAAATTCATGACACTAGATGAAAACAATGCACTACTGACCAGTTCCTTTAAATATTTATGGGAAGCACCACGGAGGAAGTGAGCTAAATGATGGACGATGTTCCTCCAGAGAGCGTGCAAGAATGCTGCACAGTCCTGTGGTGTTGCCTCTGCCCTGGGAATGGTCCACTAATCATGTGCTTTTGTGTCTCCAGGGAGAAGCTGGCTGTGGCCCGACTGCAGCGGGAAGTTGCCCAAAGAACAAGCGAGGGGGCAGTGGTAAGTCCTGCTGATCCTGCCTCAGGCCGGCCCTTTGCTCAGAGATCTCTGGCTCACAGTCATTTGGTTTCACTAAGGATATCTAAGGCAGTAAATTCAATGATATTTTGGTAAATAATGCATTTAATAATGCAGTTTAGATGGCTCTGCAATTTGCAGAAAAAGGATGATATATTATTTGAAACTAAATAATAAGAAAAACTACTTGGGCCATGTAAACAATGCTCAAATAGTCAAAAGTCTTATTTTAAGAAGGTCTACGAGATGCCCAAGGTTCTAACTGGGAGCACAAAGTCCATAACTGAACAATCTTAGATTTGTAGATCAGGGCATTTCAATATAATTCAACCCTCTGAGTTCTGCAGACTTAACCAGGAAGAACACAAAGAAATTTGATAACGTAATTAACTTTTATTCTTTATCTCTACTGTTTTCAGTGTTCCTCTCTTTCATTTTCAGCTTGTGCCGTTTCGAGAACTGATGCTTTCTTGCATTTCCAATTGCACAAAAAAAAATCAATTTGATTGTTTTGGTTTAAAGCAACTTCATTTTATAGATTGTCTTTGCCAAAGTATCTTTCCATGTACTGCTGCAACATTAGAGATGAGTATTTGGATACCCAGGGAAGGCATGTATGTGGATTAACTACTGTCCCTCCCCTGAGAAGAAAATACAACTACTCCAGACTTACTTCTCCACTAGTTAAAACAATGGCATTTATGTAGTTTTTCAGTAGACTTCATTATTTTAAAAGAAGTGGCATACTTTTCACCCCCTGAAAGCTTATTGCATTTGATTTTTTGAGAGTTGATTGACAATCCATCCACCAAAAAAAGTTAGAAATTTGTAGTGTACGCTACCCTTACGCTATTCTCAGCAGGGACTGTTAAGTTCAACTACTGAGCGGGGCCCATGAGGCACAGTGGCTTATGAACATGCTCGGGAAAACTTTTTGCATGGTTCCTTTTGCTAATGATCATAACACAGAGAATCTTGAATGCTGAAAAAAATGAAGCTACCATTCATAAAACTCCTTAAGTGATAAGATGGAAACAAGGTAGAAAAAGCAAAGGCTTTTCCTCAAATAGCAAAACAAGCCTTTCCAATCTGGACTTTTCCCTGCATAATGAGTTGAAAGGGTGGGCCACTCTGTAACTCCTGAGTCTGTTTTTCAGGATGAGTTTGAATTTTATGACTCCATTTGCTTAGGGTTTGTGCTACTGAATATTTGCTCATGTAATTTTTAGGATGTATAGCTTGTTTCTCATAAGAACTAAATGTCCTAAGAAGAGACCTTGAAAGCATACACTTTTGTTCCTTTTAGTACTGATATTGAGTGTGCCTGATTGGAAATCATTCCAGATAGATAACTGTAAAATCTTAAGAACAGAATGCCCCCATGGAAACATGGTGGCATAATTATTGACTGTAGAAGATACCCAGCAACAAGCAAAAGTTTGCCTTTGGTTACCAAGCAACAAAACGACTTTGGAAAAGCAACCAATACCTTATCGCTCTGAATCTTACTAATGGTACAGAAAATAGCATTTTTGTGTACATTAATTTGACAAAATTGGTGGGGGCAACTTACTGTGTGCTTGGCGCTGTTCTAGGCACAAGAGAAATAACAGTCAACAAAAGAAGCAATCGTATGAGTGCATTTAGTCTAGTGACTGGGGAGACTGACATGTAGTAGAACAGTTAGACAGTAGAGGCAACAGTGAGAAAGAAGCAGAGGGGACTGTGAGTTCTGGGGCTCATTATTTTAAATAAAAAATATGTAGTAAAAAAATCACAAGGATGTTAACATTTGAGTAAAACTTGTAGAAAGTGGAATTTGCCAGGGCTTTCTGAATGAAGCAGCGTTCTCCACGTGGAACTTGGCAAATAGAACAGTAGGGAAATGGCTTCGAAGTGTTTGGGTAAGAGAGGGTAAGAGAGAGACAGGCATGGGAAGAAGTCAGGAGGACTGGAAATTGGGGTGCAGAGACCATCACCGCCTGCCTGGAACTCTGGCCCACGCTGTAACTCAGTTACAGCTTTGGGTGAGACATTGACATCATCTGGTTTAATAGTCCTCGTTGCCCCGTCCTCTTCCCCATATTCCGTCATCTGTCACCTCAGGTCCTTGGAGACACTATGATCTCTGATTCTCACCTACATTTTCTTTTTCTCTTCTTATGTTTTTTGCTTCTTTCCTTGCATAGTCAAATTTCTCTTGAGTTTTCAGCTTAATTATATGCTTCAGCTTTTCTGCTCCTAGAATTCATTTGTTTTGAAGTCCTTATTCTTCCAGTATCTGACATCTCCTAAAATCAGGCAGTTCTATTAATCTTATAAATTTAATTCTTGCTGTGACAAATTTTTTACAGAACTTCTGTCACATTTCTTCCGGAAGTGGAGGACAACTTATCTTAGCCAGATCACCTTGTGTTTTAAAAATTACTGCCTAGAGTGTTTTGAGATGTGTTTATCCATATATAAGGAAAACTCATATGAGAGAAACTATTTATGAAGGCTTTTAAAAAGCTGTTATAATTAAATTGAAGCAAATTTTTATTTTTAGAAATCATTTATAAATATGCCTTAATGTCTTCAAAGAAAAGTAGACCCTTTTAAAAATTTGACTTTATGCAATAAATCTCTTCACTCACAAGTTTTTATGCCAACTTTTAAGACTGTACAAGGCACCATTTTGTAAGATTTATTTTTAATAAGCTATTTTGAAATCATTTTAAATTTATAAAAACATTGCACACCTGCCTGCCCTTTACTGAGGTTTACTTAACATTGACATCTTACAGAACTGATGTAATTGTTAAAACTAATTGGTGACATTTCTTATAAAGTCTCAAGTTTAGTTAATATACCTATTAAGTAGGTTAATATAATAATGTATCACATAGGTTAATATTACTCTTAAGTAAACTCAAGGCTTTATAAGAAACGTCACCAATATTTTTTCTTCTAATGTCCCTTTTTCTGATATCAATCCAATCATTTCCACATTGTAAGCAGAGAGATTTCTTTTTAGTAGTTAATAGAACATGTACGTATGTGGAATTAGAAAAGGAGCCTGCAGACCAGGCAGGTCTGGTTTCAGAGTCCTCAAACTACAGTTAGCAATGTTACCTCAGATCTACTGTTCATTGGTGTTAGTTCTGTCTGCCTTTTTCCTTCTGTTACCTCAGGTCTTTATTTCAGAACATTTTCTTTCAGCATATTGAGTCTTTTGTATCTGTTTTTTTTAATTCTTCTGGGAAGTAATTCTCGCTGCTGTTTTTCATAGTTGCTTTTTATTATTTTTCACAAAGGTGTTCAGAATTTTTGATTCATTCTGAGTGATGATTATATCTTGCGATCCAGGTCACTGCCTAGTGTCCCACCAGGATCTATTTTGTGTTTAAAGCATCATAGTTTGTTTGTTGTATTTTAGGGAAGGCTCTACAGGGTGTTCAGGGTCTCACTGCTAGATCCATCTCATAGTGATCCACCTGTTTACAGCCTCCCAAGAGCTGGGATTACAGGCGGGCGCCACCACACCCAGTCTCAGTTGCCATCTCAGTGCGCCCTAGAGTGGGGTGGCATGGCAGGCCCATGAATCCCCAGCACCTGAGCTAAAGCATCATAGTTCTTTTTTTTTTTTTCAGAACTAGGGATTGAACTCAGGCCCTTGCTCTTGCCAGGCAAGCACTTATTCTACTGAGCTCTCTACCCTGCCCCTAAAGCATCATAGTTTTAAAACTTGTTAACCATATGCAGAATAATGAATCTAATTCCATATTGCTTTTCTCTACTTAAATGAAATCAAAACAGATCAAAGACTTAGACATAGGCGGCAAAAACACTGAACCTGTGGAAGAAAACTTTAGAGACACAGGTAAGGTCTTTAGAGACACAGGCACAGGCAAACACATCTTGTACAGAAGGCCAATTGTACAAGATATAATATGAAGAATCGATAAATGGTATTATATCAAATTATGAAGTTTTTGCACTAGAAAGAAATAGCTAGGGCTGGCCAAATAACCCGGTAGATTAAAGTGCCTGCAAGCAGGTGCAGGGGCTGGGGTTTGATCCTCGGGCCTGCCGTGATGGTGTGTGCCTGTGATCCCAGCTACTGGAAGGCTGTAAATAGGCGGATCACTATGAGTCCAATCTAGTAGTGAGACCCTGAACACCCTGTAGACACTTCCCTAAAATACAAAGAAAAAAAAAAAGGAAGAAAGAAAAGAATAGAAAGAAAATAGAAAAAGAAATAGAAAAGAAAAGAAGGAAACAACCACCAGTGAAGAAATAGTCTACAGAATGGAAAAACAATGTCAGCTATTCCTTGGACAGAGAACTTAAACCTGGAACATACCATTAAAAAAAAAGATTCTGAACGAATAAAAGACTCAATTGAAATATGGGCTGTTTAAATAAGTTGTACAAATGGCCAATAAATATATGAAAAATGTTCAACATCTTTGGTAAGCAGAGAAATGCAAACCAAAACACTGAGATTCCACCTTACTATAGTAGGAATATCTATTATCAAGGACTCAATTAAAAACAAATGCTGGTGAAGATGTGAAAGGAATTCTTCTACATTGTTGGCAGGAATATAAACTAGTACAACCACTACAGAGGTCAGTATGGCTATTCCTTAAACTAAAACTAGAAATACCATTAGGCCCAGTTATTTCTCTTCTGGACATCTTCCTAGAAAGGATTAGTCCTTGTTTCACAGTAATATATGCAGAGCCATGTATATGCAACAGTACAAATCATAATTGCTAGTTCTTAGAAGCATCCTATATGCCCATCAACATATGAGCTGATACAGAAAACTAAATGCATAATATTTTATGGAAATATGTATGTGTATTATTCAGTCATAAAAAGGATAAATGTGAGTCCCACAAATGATGCATTATTGGGCCTGAGAGATAGCTCAGTGGACCAAATGCCTGCTTAGGTAAGTTCAGGGACCAGGGTTTGATCCCCAGCACCACTTA